TTTTTTTCAAATTATAATCTGGCCCTCCGACAGTTTAAGGGACTGACCTGGCCCTCTGTTTAAAAAGTTTGAGGACCCCTGGCATAGTCAGATCTTCTGATCCTCATCCTCGCTTTCTATAAACCAGGCATGAGCAAACATGGGCCCTCCAGGTTCTTTGGACTTCAACATCCACAATTCCTAATAGGCATCACATATTCATCATACTTAACGTCTGAAACATGCATACATAAACATTGCCTTTCCAGCCGACACACACGTTTTTGGTTTTGTTTTTGGTCATGTCAGGAGTGACTTGAGAAACTGCAAGTCGCTTCTGGTGGGAGAGAATTGGCTGTCTGCAAGGACGTTGCTCAGGGGACTCTCTGTTTTTGATGTTTATCATCCTTGAGAGAGGCTTTTCATGTCCCCGCATGAGGAGCTGGAATTGATAGAGGGAGCTCATCCGCACTCTCTCCGGATTCAAATCTGTAACCTGTTGGTCTTCAGTCCTGCCGGGACAAGGGTTTAAACCACTGCGCCACCGGTTGATCTAAACATTCTGAACTACCACAAGGCTCCTGCCCCATGTTGGGTGGCATTATAGCCGGTATGGGCAAACTTGGGCCCTCCAGGTGTTTTGGACTTCAACTCTCACAATTCCTAACAGGTGCCTGAAACATGCACACATATAAACACTGCCTTTCCAGCTGACCCACAAGTTGATCTAACGGTTCTGAGCTACCACCAGGTTCCTACCCTGTGTTGGCTGGCTTTATAGCAGGTATGGGAAAACTTGGGCCCTCCAGGTGTTTTGGGCTTCGACTCCCACAGTTCCTAACAGGCACCACAACTTCACCACACTTAATGCCTGAAACATGCACACATAAACACTGCCTTTCCAGCTGACCCACAAGTTGATCTAATGGTTCTAAACCACCAGCAGGCTCCTGCCCCGTGTTGGCTGGCTTTATAGCAGATGTGGGCAAACTTGGGCCCTCCAGGTGTTTTGGACGTCAACTCCCACAATTCCTAACAGGCGCCACAACTTCACCATACTTAACATCTGAAACACGCACACTGCCTTTCCAGCCAACACACAAGTTGATCTAACGGTTCTGAACTACCACCAGGCTCCTGCCCTGCATTGAGTGGCTTTATAGCAGGTAGGGCAAACTTGGTCCCTTCAGGTGTTTTGGATTTCAATTCAACAACCGGCTGTTAGGAATTGTGGAAGTTGAAGTCCAAACCACCTGGAGGGACCAAGTTTGCTCATCAGATCTGTCTATGACATTGCAATGCTAATGCTTTGCTTTAGACCCCTCACTTGCTTGTTTACATGCGTTTAAGGTTGAGGCTCTATTACAGGTAAGTCCTGAAACTGCACCTTTCTCCCTACCTTATTGGAAATGTTAATGATAGAGCAAAAAGGGGCTTTTCTCTCTGCTGACGACACGTGTGTGACATGCGAGCCTGAACCACCCAGTCTCTGGGCAGGAGCTGTAAACATGTTTACCTGAGCAGGAGAGAAAATGGATTTCCCCCTAAAGATGCTCCCGATGTGGACTATCGTGCCTCTAAAGCATATCAACAGATGCTTTGTGCCTGCTTGAATACCTTGCCTTTGAAAATCTGAGGGGGAAAGGGAATCTGAAGGCTGCAGCAAATGGCAACTTGTGCAGGTAGAGAAAAAAATGGTGTGAGTGAGGTTTCTCTTGCATGCATGTCAGCCCTCTCCTGTCTGCTGCGTTCATTCTCAAGGGAGGGATTTATTTACCATGCTTGCTGTCAGTGTTTTTCCTTTGTGCTTAATATTAGAAAAACAGATTTAAGGCTGTGCGCAGCACAAACGTTCCCCCCTGCAGTATGCATGACTTGTGGAAAACAAAAGGTGTGCGGGATACAATGCCATTCTGGTTTTTCTCATGTTTGTGATTTTGGGTTGGAATCATCATACCTGTGTTCTCAGGCTTTAAGGAGCATCTTAGTTGTATTATTAGGTGGTTCTAACCGTCATATAGCATTTTAACAGCTAAATAATAACTTGACTTTCACTGTGTTAACCATCATTGGATAGGCTCGATAATAGATGCCAGATAATAGAGATTTCTCAGCAGTAGGTTCCTGTTTGACTTGCAAATGTTTACTGATCAAAATTGCTGGGGGAAGTTAACCCTTAAACCTTTGCCACAGATGGACAATTGAAATTGCTTCTCTGCCAAATCTCTGTCATAGAGAGGATGTTGATCTCTTGCCTCTGGAAGATAGGTACCATGTCTGCAGCTAATCCTATGCAATGATTTTTCTGTCATGAGATTTAAGGAGGACAAACTGTGATAAACTGACTTCCCTAACTGTTTTTTATCTCGTAACACCAAATTATGTACTGCTGTCTTAATGGAGTAGTAGTATACATCTCCTTTAAAGGGCAGATTTTAACAAAAGGATATATTAAAATTCTTTAAACAGAAATGTTAGTTAGTTTTGTGTGTTAACACAGGTGTAGCTGAAATATATACTGTTTTAACTCTCTTAAGGGCCCTTCCACATAGCCTTATATTCCAGAATATCAAGGCAGAAAATCCCACAATATCTACTTTGAACTGGGTTGTCTGGGAGCTCCCGGTGGCACAATGGACTAAAGACCGACAGGTTGCAGGTTCGAATCTGGGGAGAGCGTGGATGAGCTCCCTCTGTCAGCTCCAGTTCCCCATGCGGGGACATGAGAGAAGCCTCCCAAAGGATGGTAAAACCTCAAAACATCTGGGCATCCCCTGGGTAATGTCCTTGCAGATGACCAATTCTCTCACACCAGAAGTGACTTGCAGTTTCTCAAGTCACTTCTAACGGAAAAAAAACCTGGGTTATCTGAGTCCACATTACCATATATTCCAGTTCAAAGCAAATAATGTGGGATTTTATTCAGCAGTGTGGAAGGGGCCAAAATCTGTAACCAGGAACTGTTTACCTAGGAGTCAGATGTGTTGAATTCAGTGAGAATTACTTCTGTGTAGAGGATTATGGTTTAAATATAATTACTGTGCTATATTCTTATTGATTGGCTAACACACAGTACTCATAAGAGTAGTAATAGCCTCATATTACTGCCAGAGGCATCTGTGGCCATGTTTAACATTTTGTGTCTGTTAGGCTAATCTTCTCTGTCAGGTATACATTTTTTTAAAAAATACTCTTGTATAGCTTTCCTTTAAACTACCATTCAGTATGAATTTACGATTTTTGTGGCAATCGTTTTCTTCATCGTATCGATGTTAGATTGTGCGGCTTACCTACTCCTTTCTTTCAGTAGTTCATGGGCAAATAAAGTGTTGTGCTCAGGATACTTCAACTAAAATAGCTTTTGTACTTTGTACAGCTCAATTTGGAATGTGCATAGTCTATTAAATAGATTTGTAATGCAGCTCTCTGCCAAACAGGCCCTAAAGTTGTCCTGTGGTACATATACACAGTTGGGACATGACTGAGCTTCCATATATAGACCTTTCCTTCTGGGGAAAAGGGGAAATAGTTGATGTTTTGTCTGATGGTGGGGTGGAGAGCAATGTTGTTGCAGATGTTCTCACTGACCAGATGTAGTGCTAGAGCAGACCTCTTCCTGCCATGAAAGCTCATACCTGCATGTGTATATTTGCTTGCTGGAAATATACTAAATGATTTCGACCCATTACCAACTATCTAAAACATTACAGGATTTATATAATTATTTTTGAACATTTAAATAACTTATTTTCCATTTGCACACATTCCCAATAGACCTGTTAGGCTGGAGATAGAATTTTTCTATTTTGTTGAGTGGGATAAAGCTGGGAATAATTTTTCTAAGATTGCTAAGGGAGTTCATGACTGAGTGATGTTGAACTATGTACCAGGGCCTTCTTTTTCTCAGTCTCAGAGATTCTGAAAGATCCCTTTGCATGTTGATATAGGCAGTATGCCTTTTAAATGTAGTGAGTTTGCTATAGCCACAAAGCGTTCTTGGATCCCATGCAGACACGAAAAAAAAAAGGATGATCATATCCCATATTCCCATATTTTAAAATGGCAGCAATGTGAACACAAACACTGCAGCATATCTGTGTTCATGTCATCACCATTTATTAATAAGAGGTGTGACAATCCATGATTGGTTGTATTTGCAGATCCGGAGGGTCCATTATAGTACTATAAATTAACAGAAAACATGCAGCTGAGATTTGGCAACAGATATTAAAACTACTCTCTGATCTGCTGAGATAGCAAAATATAATTTGAAATGTATTGTCGAAGGCTACCATGGCCGGAATCACTGGATTGTTGTAAGTTTTTTGGCTGTATGTTCATGTTCCAGAAGCATTCTCTCCTGACATTTCGCCTGTATCTATGGCAGGCATCCTCAGAGGTTGTGAGGATGCCTGCCAGAGATGCAAGCGAAACGTCAGGAGAGAATGCTCCTGGACCATGAACATACAGCCCAAAAAACTTACAACAGCCGTATAATTTGTATTTTGTTTTATCTGTGAACTCCCTAGAGGCCCAGGTTCCAGGAACTTTGGCTTCATTGCTTCTTAATCTAAGGACTTCCTTGCTCACAGTGCAAATCATTATTCTGTGTCAGCCCTTATAATGATACCGGTACTGTATTTTCCACCAGATGCTTGGAGACTATTAGCACTAAAGTTATAGTCATGTTGTACAACCCTATACATATGGGCTGTGTTCTTACATAGAGTTAAACCATGGTTTAGTTCGGGGGTCCTTAAACTAAGGCCCAGGGAATGGGCTGTGTTCTTACATAGAGTTAAACCATGGTTTAGTTCGGGGGTCCTTAAACTAAGGCCCAGGGACTGGATACGGCCCACTAAGGTCATTTACCCGGCCCTCGCTCAGTGTCAACCTCAACCTAAATGGAACAACGGAAAATGATACTGGATTGTGACTAGGACGATGAGACGACTTTGAATGGTTTCGTAGTAATGACGATGTTTTGTATAATGCTGGACTGTGAATTGTATTTTTACACTGTGTTTTGAATTGTGTTTTTTCTATGTTGTACACCACTGTGAGTCGCCCCCGGGCTGAGAACAGCGGTATAGAAGCAAAGTAAATAAATAAATAAATAAATAATAACCTAAGTCTGAAATGACTTGAAAACACGCAACAACAACAATCCTATCTCATCAGCCAAAAGCAGGCCCACACTTCCCATTGAAATACTAATAAGTTTATATTTGTTAAAATTGTTCTTCATTTTAATTATTGTATTGTTTTTAAGTGTTTTTTGAATTACAAATAAGATATGTGCAGTGTGCATAGGAATTCATTCATATATTTTTTTCAAATTATAATCTGGCCCTCCAACAGTTTGAGGGACTGTGACCTGGCCCTCTGTTTAAAAAGTTTGAGGACCCCTGGTTTAGTGTTTCGGCAACAGGCCTGGGACTTGCATGCTTTCCCTTTATTTTGGAATGGCTAAAGGGAAATTGGAAACTTCTGCTTTTGTTTTAAGAAACTGCAGTTCGCATCACATCTAAAGTCTAAATATTAGTTAGTTTCAGCTAATCAATTGAAACAAGCCAGCTTCATATACAGGGTTAGTCAAAATGAATAGGCCAATAAGAAAATTAATTTTAGACGAATGTATGTTTACTGTAACCAAACCACAGCTACGTAGCGACAGATAAACTATCAAAGTTTTTTTTGAGCAACACACATGTACGTTAATGCCGCTAGGCGTCGCTAGGGGTCGCTGTTTTCAAAATGGCGGATTCAAGCAAAGAGAAGGCGTTTTGTGTGATGACATTTGCTAAAACAATGTCAGTAATTACGGTCCAGCGAGAATTTCGAGCCAAGTATGGCAAGGAACCACCTCATCGACATTCCATTGCGAGGTGGGTAAAGCAATTTGAGGAGACGGGCTGCTTATGCAAGGGTAAAACCACAGGACGACCACGTGTCTCCGAAGACACAGCTGCATTCGAGGCCATTACGTCGGATGTGCTGCAACGGATGTGGAATGAACTGGACTATCGCTTGGACATCTGCCGTGTCACACGGGGCGCCCATATCGAACATCTCTGAAGGTGAGACAAAACTTTGATAGTTTATCTGTCGCTACGTAGCTGTAGTTTGGTTACAATAAACATACATTCGTCTAAAATTAATTTTCTTATTGGCCTATTCATTTTGACTAACCCTGTATTTGCACTGAAGTTGACTTGTTTCAACCATTAATTGTTAAAGTTAATCACTATTTAAGTTTAGGATAACAGAAAATAGTTTTATGTTTGCACATGTCAGACCAGCTCATAATTATAAACTTTCTCAAATAAAAATAATCTTGATGGGAAAACTGCCTTTCTGTTGAACTTCTGTGATGCTTTATTAGATGTTGCATTCTTTCCTCACCTTTTGGTCTCTTCCTTCCCTAAGAAAGTAACAGGTGCCTGGTTTTATTTTCTGTCTTTGGACTATTTTTTTAATCCCATCATATCCCCTCTGGACTCCTCGGTTCCAACTAAAACTTTCCTCTCAATTTTATGGTGAAATCGATCCTTCCCTTTGCAAAATCCTGACACTGTTATACTATGTGGTGCGGAACAGTATGTGTTATAGAGCTTTATGACATACATTTTTTGTGTAATCTTCAACATGCCATTATTTTACAATCTCAGTTCCCTATCTA